CTCTTTATCAACAGTTGCATGACTTTGGGTTAAGTTCTAACATTTTCAAAAAGCTGACAACAAGAAATTTGAGAAATAGTATTTCATGATTAATTCACAATAATTTGATTTTACTCTACCATAATATGTCATAAATGTCCAGAATATATAAATGTGTAAAACGTTACCCTTTTCATTAATAATTATTGTTATCACATGCTAGGTAGAAATCTAGTGATTTGATTGGTTGCTTTCTATGACGTATTTCCCGTATCACATAAATTTCACACACATTGTCGATGGTAACGAAATGACGTCATACAACTTCATTCTATTTTTTCCTTATTCAAAAAAATGATGTCACATATAGGCTATGTTTCTATTTCTTAGAAATGATTAACTCGTCATTTGAGGAACTAGAAGTTAGAATGACAAAGAAAGCCACCAATCAAATCACTAGATTTCTACAAAGTATGTGATAAAAACGTCATCACACGTTTCAGCGTATGTGATACGGGAAATATTCCACTCAGTAAAAAAGTATCACCACTCACTCAAGCTGCGCTTTCGTGGTTATACAATTTTTACTTCCGTGGAATATTTCCCATATCACATGCTGAAACGTGTAATAACTGATAGTATCCTAATGTTGCCTTTATACTTAATCCCCACCTGATATCTAACATTTCTTTCCTAATGTTGCCTTTATACCTAATTCTCACCTGGTATCTAACATTTCTTTCCTAATGTTGTCTTAATACCTAATTCCCACCTGGTATCTAACATTTCTTTCATAATGTTGCCTTGATACCTTATTCCCACCTGGTATCTAACATTTTTTTCCTAATGTTGCCTTGATACCTTATTCCCACCTGGTATCTAACATTTCTTTCCTAATGTTGCCTTTATACCTTATTCCCACCTGGTATCTAACATTACTTTCCTAATGTTGTCTTTATACCTAATTCCCACCTGGTATCTAACATTTCTTTCATAATGTTGCCTTGATACCTTATTCCCACCTGGTATCTAACATTTCTTTCCTAATGGCCTTGATACCTAATTCCCACCTGGTATCTAACATTTCTTTCCTAATGTTGCCTTTATACCTTATTCCCACCTGGTATCTAACATTTCTTTCCTAATGTTGCCTTTATACCTAATTCCCACCTGGTATCTAACATTACTTTCCTAATGTTGCCTTTATACCTAATTCCCACCTGGTATCTAACATTTCTTTCCTAATGTTGCCTTTATACCTAATTCCCACCTGGTATCTAACATTTCTTTCCAAATGTTGCCTTTATACCTAATTCCCACCTGGTATCTAACATTACTTTCCTAATGTTGTCTTTATACCTAATTCCCACCTGGTATCTAACATTTCTTTCCTAATGTTGCCTTTATACCTAATTCCCACCTGGTATCTAACATTTCTTTCCTAATGTTGCCTTTATACCTTATTCCCACCTGATATCTAACATTTCTTTCCTAATGTTGCCTTTATACCTAATTCCCACCTGGTATCTAACATTACTTTCCTAATGTTGTCTTTATACCTAATTCCCACCTGGTATCTAACATTTCTTTCCTAATGTTGCCTTTATACCTAATTCCCACCTGGTATCTAACATTTCTTTCCAAATGTTGCCTTTATACCTAATTCCCACCTGGTATCTAACATTTCTTTCCTAATGTTGCCTTTATACCTAATTCCCACCTGGTATCTAACATTTCTTTCCTAATGTTGCCTTTATACCTAATTCCCACCTGGTATCTAACATTACTTTCCTAATGTTGCCTTTATACCTAATTCCCACCTGGTATCTAACATTACTTTCCTAATGTTGCCTTTATACCTAATTCCCACCTGGTATCTAACATTTCTTTCCTAATGTTGCCTTTATACCTAATTCCCACCTGGTATCTAACATTTCTTTCCTAATGTTGCCTTTATACCTTATTCCCACCTGGTATCTAACATTTCTTTCCTAATGTTGCCTTTATACCTAATTCCCACCTGGTATCTAACATTACTTTCCTAATGTTGTCTTTATACCTAATTCCCACCTGGTATCTAACATTTCTTTCCTAATGTTGCCTTTATACCTAATTCCCACCTGGTATCTAACATTTCTTTCCAAATGTTGCCTTTATACCTAATTCCCACCTGGTATCTAACATTTCTTTCCTAATGTTGTCTTAATACCTAATTCCCACCTGGTATCTAACATTTCTTTCCTAATGTTGCCTTGATACCTTATTCCCACCTGGTATCTAACATTTCTTTCCTAATGTTGCCTTTATACCTTATTCCCACCTGGTATCTAACATTACTTTCCTAATGTTGTCTTTATACCCAATTCCCACCTGGTATCTAACATTTCTTTCATAATGTTGCCTTGATACCTTATTTCCACCTGGTATCTAACATTTCTTTCCTAATGTTGCCTTGATACCTAATTCCCACCTGGTATCTAATATTTCTTTTCTAATGTTGCTTTTATACCTAATTCCCACCTGGTATCTAACATTTCTTTCCTAATGTTGCCTTTATACCTAATTCCCACCTGGTATCTAACATTTCTTTCCTAATGTTGCCTTTATACCTAATTCCCACCTGGTATCTAACATTTCTTTCCTAATCTCAGTTTTTTCTACTCAAGAGAATGCCTGATCAATATTTCACTTTCAAGCTATCAAAAGTATCACTGCTGGCTGAAAGAACCCTGAGCTTATTGTAAATGTACTGCACTCTAACTATGAGTATGATGTAGATGTACAGTTTGGAGTATCCATCACCATTGCTGGTGCCCAGACCATGAAGCATTCAAACCTATTACATTTTCAACCAATCAGACATCATTCTAGAGCAAAACTGGTTGATATTTTGACTTATCTTTGCATGAATTATTACTGAGCAATGATTGACTTGACAAGTTCAGGGGTTTTATAAGTGTCAGCCAAAGCAGATCACTTTTGTAAAGGGTAGGCTTAGAGGTGTCTATAGCATCCAATGCTTTCATTGATTTGTTGTAAATGGGATTACTTGAAGTCAATAACACAACTTCAATGGGGGTATCATGTGCATGGTTCAGGAAAGGAATACAAATGCATTATAATCAATTTTTACATTCCATCTCAGAACAAAACAGATTCAACATACAGGCATTGCATTACATCCTTCTTCAAAGGACTTCATTTATGCCTAAATTCAGTTAAAACAAGTTGGTGATGCACCTTACAGAGGTTTGAAAATAGACTAATTAAAACTAATAATTACACTTTGATTAACACATATCTGCACCGACTTGAAAATCAGGAAAATTGGCATATTTACCAACTTTGGGCAAAGCTGTGATAATCAAAATTTTGCAATGAGTTCAATAGGAGAACACTAATGCATATATGAACCTACTGATTAAGGACAACATACAAGGAGGGTGTTTTCACCTGGTCCAAGCAGTATTCACTTTAATCTTACTATACTGGGATCAACAACCTCGGTTTCCATTGTCCTCACTCAACTGATCTTTTCAACCTCCAATTGAAAATTTTGACTAGTTTTATTAAAATTCTGTATCCGACAATCATTATATTTAATTTCATGGTTAAGGTCCCTCTTATTGGTATTTCCCTCAATATACTTGTCTATTAATAAGAACAAATATAGATATGTAAGGTGAGAAGTCATTCACTGAACATTGAAAATGGAAGAAAGAAGCCAACAACTCAATATTAATATCTTCCTAGAAGATGCAAAAATGTATAAGGCCAAGAAAAAATGGTCTATTTTCTGATCATTGGGATGGGGACAAAAATTCCAAAGATGAAAGAAGAGTTGACCAGACTGGTCTCTTTAGGAAACAACATTATCAACAAAAATTGTTTGAATAACAATAGGTCTGGCTGCCTTGTTTAAAACTAAAAAAAAAAAACTGGTGACAAGAAACAAGATTTTTCCTGGCCTTATTACGCCTGTCCTCTTCTAGGAAATATAATAAATAGGTTAAACACATCATTTGTTATAAGAGTACATGCATAAACACCTGTGTCAGTCCATGTGGGCTCAATAGCAATTAATGAAAAATTAGAGCTGGCATCGAATAGGATTTTAATGTCGACATGTCGGAGCTCTCGATCGACAACGATATCGACATTGTCGGGTCCAATGATATTCGAAAAATGAAAAAAAATTTGAAGAAAATCCGTCTGAATTTTAGATTTTCTAGGCTTGTAATTAGCAATACGATGCACAATAGTCATCCTCAGTTGTATGTTTTATATATACCTTACAGGTAAACCATGTTCAAGTATCAGACTTTGACGAAAAAGCAATAAATAGACATAAAACTACGATTTCTGTTGTTATTTCCGGGCAGCCATTGAAAATAAATCTCGAGGGTAAATCTCGAGGGGCCCCGAGACCTAATTCGAGAGCAGGAAGTCGATCAAAACAAAAAAGAAAATTTGAAAATGTAGGCGGTAAAACTTCACTAAAATACACCATACAGCAGGTAGTAACAAAGATTTTAATTCATAGGGAAATAGCTTATTATGTTGCGAGTTCCGACTGTCGATCAAGAGGCGTTGTGTCGACATGGGTGTCGCAGAGAGCATTCGACTGACAATCAACCATTCCGACATTTGATGCCAGCTCTATGAAAAATAGATAAATCAGCGACCCAGCTTTGTGTTAGGTAACCTTGAAAAATTACATGTAAGTTGTCAAAAATAGAGAAAGTACATGACAAATTAGAATCAGTAAGTGGCCTTTTGTCTTTTTATTAAAAAATTCTTATGTCCAGAAAATACAGCTTATGCTATATGTATAGAGGTAGGAGTTATCAAAATGAATGAAGCTTAGAATTTAGTGTGATATTCTTTAGATAACCTTCATGACAACGGCTCAAAAACGAATGTAACTTTGGTAAATGCATTTAGTTTTGCTTCTAGCCAGTATGACCCCCTACATACCTCACCTTAATGCAAGACATTTTAAAATATGCAGAGAGACTTACCTTCTAAGGACATCTATTTCATTTTCTAGTGAATCTTCTTTGCCTTTAAGAGCTTTCCTATCTATACATTTTATAGCTACATATCTGCCTCTCTGTTGACGGTCCTCTGCTAAAATAACTTCCGAGAAGGCCCCTCTGTAAATAACAAAAAATAATTTCAGATTATCATCTTTCATGCATCAATGCCAAATGATGAAGGACTTTGTTACAAAAGGACTTTGTTACAAAGAATTAGGGGATTTTGCATGTAGAATCAGACAATGACTGTTATGAAGCTCAGTTCCCCTACAAAAACAGTATCCTCCTTTAAAAGAAGCAGCCTCCTCTTAAAAACAATTGGCCTCTATTAAAGCAACAGCCTCCTTTTAAAGAAGTAGCCTTCTACAAACATGTTAATCTTACTGCAACAATTTCTAAATTTTTAAATACCTTTATAGTATGCGCCAAATCGCTTCCAAAGTGGCTTGGTTAGTCTAAACCGATGTTGAGGTAGATTACTAAGAAGTGGCCCATAGTCATTATAGATTGGTTCATTGACTTTTCATTTTCACTTGTCTGCGTTAAAAAGGTGACACGAAAGGGCTAAACGGCTTGCCCCAAGGTGCAACCGTCAAAAATATGAGTTTGAAAAAAATCATGTTTTTCAAATAATAGCAGTGAGTATATGGAATAGGAGGCATATTTGATATTGATATGTATGATAGTCTATTTGGGTATGGTCATTTTTATTAAAAACAATAATGGTGAAGAATTATACATTGCTGACCTTGAAATGCCATTTTAATTCAAAAGTCACTGTTGCTAATGATAATATTCTTATTTTACTTATTCAATGTTTTCTAAATGTTTCAATTACCATTATGTTAGTTTTTGGCAAAGTAAATAATTATAGGGGTCACACAAGGATCCACTTTATTTACAACTTTTTCATATTTAGTGATGATTTCAAAAAAATACTAAGTTTAACACAATTTTATTTGTTAAATATTAAATAAAATGATGGTATTGTGTTTGTTTCATTGTTTCAACTAAAAATCGCAATTCATTGCTCTTGCTCTTAGATCTGCATGGCATATACCAGTACAAAAAGTCTTCAATAAAGTTGATCCTTGTGTGAGCCCTATGTTTATTTACTTTGCCAAAAATGAATATAACGATTATTCAGATATATAAAAATCCTTTAATAGGTTAAATAGGAATACAATGATTGACTTTTGAATAAAAAGGCATTATACATGTACATATATATGTAGTTGTTGCAGTAAAATTACCACACCAAAGTGGACTATCTTTCCATATTAATATCAAATGGGCCTTCTATTTGCATTTTACTGAAATTATTTGTAACAAAAGTTTATTGTGATGAAACAGGCAGTGATTTTGATACTTTTTTAGCTTGCAGACAGTGATCTAGTCGAGACAACATCTTTTAGTAATGGGTGTAACAGTGATGAGGCAGGAATCGATTTTATAAATGCAACTTTTGACAATTCCATTATTGATGGTTTATCTAACAGTTAGCCATTTTGTCCAACATTCTGCTTGGACGCCAAATTAAAAGATACCGATTTGCATCACATCAAGTTTGATTTGTTTACCGATGTTTGTCAGAGTGATACCTGTAGCAGCACCTGGCCGTTGATTTGACCCTCCACAACCAATGATTAGGTGACCCGAAGTCAAGGTCTGAATGGATCAAGGTAATTTTAAAGTCAAAGGTCAATATCTAGCAAGTTGACGTGAGAACAATTGGGACATTTGGCGACCAATGATAAGGTGATTTTAAGGTAATTCCAAGGTCAAAGGTCAATATCTAGGTCATAGGTAGTTGGCTACTGTGGGTCTTAAGTAACATATGATCACCAAAGATAAAGTGACCTACTGTCAATGTCACGGTTTATGGGTCAAGGTCAGAGGTCAATATCTGAATATTTGGCATTTTGGGGATGCTGCTTCATGTGAGGACCCATTGATATGTGTTCTGAGGTCAAGGTCATTCCCACAAAGTCAAAATCTCTGTATTTGGCGTTTTGATGCCCTGGGGGCTGCTATGACCCTTGGCAACTCATGCTAAGGTGACATGAGGTCAAAGTCAATATCTATGGTTCAAAATTATAAGAAGGTCAAATGTCAATATCTAGGTAGTTGGCTCGTTTGAGACTACACTGACATTTGATCACCAATGATAAAGTGACCTGAGATCAGTGTCATTGTTATAGGTCAAGGTCAGAGATCAATATCTAAATATTTGGCGTTTTGTGGCAGCTGCTGCACTTGACTCCATTGAAACGTGACCTGAAGTCAAGGTCAATCTAAAGTCAAATTTCAATATCTTGGTGTTTGGCGTTTTAAGGCCACAGGAGCTGCTGTCGTGATGTGGTCCTTGGCGACTCATGATAAGGTGACATGAGGTCAGTCATCATTTAATGGTTCAATTCAAGGTCATCCCAAGGTCAAGGTCAATATCTAGGTATTGGTGTTTCAAGGCACTCGGGGGATGCTGTGACGCTTGGTGACCCATTACTAGGCGACTTGGGGTCAAAGTCATTACTGATGGGTCATGTCAATTCAAGGTCAAAAGTCAATATCTAGGTATTAAGCCTTTTAAGGCCTTTGGGCGAGTTCATCTATGCATCCGAAAAGGTCAAAAGTCAATAGCCAGGTATTTGGAATTATTTTTAAGGTCATGTGGGGCTGCTGTGACCGACTCGAACAGTAGATTGCTAGTATTATAAAAGATACACAAGAATATGGCGGGAGTGTGGCAAAATCGTTTATTCACTTTAATATGCAAATATGGCACTCTGTAAGGACCCGAGGGTTCCTTCGGGGAATTGCGTGGTAATGCTCTGTGTGGGAACCAAACCTAGTACCTTCTATTCTAAATTCTGATGCTCTACCGCCTGAACTAGCAGCCACGCTACAATTCCATTAAAAAGAAAACATGGAGCGATATTGTTTTGTTTCGATAAAGTCAAATCAATTTTCTACTACAATTCGGTTAGAGCGGTTGACATTTCAAAAGTAATAGTCAATCATTTCTGTTTTATCATGTCAATTTTAATAAAATTTGCCAATTTGAAGTAAAATTATAACAGAAGAGAGGTTATCCAAATATGAGGTCATATTAATGACTGCAATCTTCAGTGAAGCTGACGAAGTTTTTCATGAAAGAGTAACTTGTTGTTGTGTTTCTAAATTGAATACTATTAGGTATAAGCAGGTGCGTTTTCAAAAATGCAAATTTAAAGCAAATTTCGCAAAAGTTAGTTATTGATATGTAGAGATAGTCCATTGGGGTATGGTTATTCTCTTTAAAACAATTATGGTACAAATTTGGTACTTCTGACTATATAATGCTTTTTTATTCAAAAGTCAATTATATTATTCTTATTTTGACTATCAAATGATTTTCATATATCCGAATAACCGTTATATTAGTTTTTGGCATAGTAAACAAGAACACAAATGTGTACAATATGTCCCCACCAATGGGTGATCCCATGAAATGGTTATCCTGAAAATGAGTAGACAAGACTTTACTGACACAATTTGAGGACGGAAAGTCCAAAATGGCCGCCTTAAAATTTACCCAGAATCCCCAAAAATTAGCTAGTTCTAGATTTTCATACTAAGAACCACCCCTGAAAATTTGAAATTGATCCGTCAAACAGTTAAACAAGACTTTACAGACAAGATTTTAGGATGGAAAATCCAAAATGGCTGCCTTGACATTTACCCAGAATGTCAAAAAACTAATCAGTTCTAGATTTTCATACTAAGAATCATCCCTGAAAATTTGAAATTGATCTACCAAACGGTTCACCTGAAAACGCGTAGACAAGACTTTACAGACAAGATTTTAGGACAGAAAATCCAAAATGGCTGTCTTGACATTTACCCAGAATGCCAAAAAACTAATCAGATCTAGGTTTTCATACTAAGAATCATCCCTGAAAATTTGAAATTGATCTAACAAACGGTTCACCTGGAAATGCGTAGACAAGACTTTACAGACAAGATTTTAGGACGGAAAATCCAAAATGGCTGCCTTGACATTTACCCAGAACGCCAAAAAAACTAATCAGATCTAGATTTTCATACTAAGAATCATCCCTGAAAATTTGAAATTGATCTACCGAACGGTTCACCTGGAAATGCGTAGACAAGACTTTACAGACAAGATTTTAGGACGGAAAATCCAAAATGGCTGCCTTGACATTTACCCAGAACGCCAAAAAACTAATCAGATCTAGATTTTCATACTAAGATTCATCCCTGAAAATTTGAAATTGATCTACCAAACGGTTCACCTGAAAACATGTAGACAAGACTTTACAGACAAGATTTTAGGACGGAAAAAACCAAAATGGCCGACAATAAAAAAGTGATTACGAGTTTTTGCTGATTTCCTTTTACAAAATTATCACATATAACTACTGTTAACAATAACATAGGCTTTTTCAACAAAGTACACCTGGAATTATTTATAAAGCTACTAAATAGTTAAAGTATGAAAACTCAAAAACACCATTCAATATGATACAAAGTATTATCGCGCGCTAACTTTTCTTCAGACATTCAAAATGGCTGACATGACTGGGCTAACAGGTCCAAAACCTAATCAGATGTAGAATGAAGTGAGCTGAACAAGATGTTAAAGTTTTAAAAGCAACTGTGAAGCCGTTTTTCTTAAAGTTTGCAGACAAGGATTTTAGCATTTGACCTCAAAATGGCCGACAGGAAGTAGCTATCGAGTTAATTTTTTTTCATCCACATCTGTATGCACTCACAAGTTATTCCTGAAAATTTGAAGGTGATAGCTGTAGCGGTTTTGGAGAAAACTGCCGGACGTACGGACGGACAGACAGACAACCAGACAGACAGACAGACGGACGGACGCGCCTAGGACGACAATATGGCCCCACACTATGTGGTGGGGACATAATAATAGTAGGGATCACACAAGGATCAACTGTATTGAAGATTGGTCAGACTGGTATATGCCCTGCCGCTCTAAGATCAAGAGCAATGAATTGTGATTTTTCAGTTAAAACAAAGAAAGAAACACATCATCATTATTTTGTTTAACATTTAACAAATAATTTTCTGTTAAACGTAGTATTTTTTCAAAA